TTTTAAGAGAATTCCTGGCCTTGTTGAACTTTGTTTATACTCTTATGCCTGTTTTTAAATTTATTTATTTATTTTTTATTATTTTTTTTATTTATTTTATTTTATTTTATTTTATTTTTGTTACAGATATTCCCCCCCCCTTTTTATTTATTTTTATTATTTTTTTATCCTCACTGAGGACATTTTTCCATTTTTCGTTCAGATAGAGTGGGAGGGTGAGAGAGATTGAGAGAGAAACGTCGATGTGAAAGAGACACATCGAGTGGCTGCCAACCACACGGCCAACTGGGGCCGGGGCCAAACTGCAACTGAGGTACGCGCCCTTAGCGGGAATTGAACCTCGGTCTCTCTGGACCACAGGCAAACACTCTAACCACTGAGCAAAACTGGCCAGGGCTGTTAGCCCTTTTTTACCTCATTGACACCCTCCTCCCCATCCCCTCCTGCCCCATCTCCGGCTTTGTTGTCCATGTCCATTGGTTATACATATATGCATATAAGTTCTGTGGTTTATCTCTTCCCACCCCTCACCATCCCCTCTTCTGAGGGTTGTCAGTCTGTACCCTACTTCCGTGTTTCTGGGTCTACCCTATTCCTCAGACTATTATATTCATTATATCGCATATATAAGTGAGATCATGTGGTATTTGTCTTTTTCTGCTTGGCTTGTTTCACTTAGGTTAATACTTTCCAGGTCCCTCCATGTCATCTCAAAGGATAAGAGATCTTTCTTTCTTACAGCTGCATAGTACTCCATTGTGTATATGTACCACAACTTTTTATTCGTTCGTCTACTGATGAACACTTGGGCTGTTTCCAGATCTTAGCTATTGTAAATAGTGCTGCTATAAATATGGGGGTAAATGTATTCTTCCTGACTGGGGTTTCAGGCTTCTTAGGGTATATTCCTAGAATTGGGATCACTGGGTCAAATGGAAGTTCAATTTTGAATTTTTTGAGGTAACACCATATTGTTTTCCATAGTGGCTGCGCCAGTCTGCATTCCCATCAGCAGTGCACTAGAGACCCCTTTTCTCCACACCCTCATGAACACTTGTTGTTTGATGATTTTTGATGGCAGCCATTCTGACAGGTGTGAGGTGATACCTCATTGTTGTTTTAATTTGCATCTCTCTGATGATTAGTGATGTTGAGCATTTCTTCATATGTCTCTTGGCCATTTGTATGTCCTGTTTGAAGAGGTGTCTATTTAGGTCCTCTGCACATTTTTTAATTGGTTCTTTGTCTTCCTTTTGTTGAGTTGTATGAGTACTCTATATATTTTGGAAATTAACCCCTTATCTGATATATCATTGGCAATGATGTTCTCCCATACAGTGGGTTGCCTTTCCATTTTGATTGTTGTTTCTTTTGCTGTGCAGAAGCTTTTTAGTTTGATGTAGTCTCATGTGTTCATTTTCTCCTTTGTTTCTGTTGCCTTAGGTGATGTATCAGTGAAAAATCTGCTCCATATGATGTCTGAAATTTTCTTGCCTACATTTTCTTCCAGAATTTTTATGGATTCACGGGTCACATTTAAGTCTTTTATCCATTTTGAGTTTATTTTTGTGTATGGTGTAAGTTGATGGTCCAGTTTCATTTTTTTTCATGTAGCTGTCCAATTTTCCCAACACCCTTTATTAAAAAAGCTGTCTTTACTCCACTATATGCTCTTGCTACCTTTGTCAAATATTAATTGAGCATATTGCCTTGGGTCCATTTCTGGGTTCTCTGTTCTGTTCGACTGGTCTATATGCCTGTTCTTGTGCCAGTACTAGGCTGTTTAGATTACAGTGGCTTTGTAGTATAACCTGATATCTGGTATTGTGATCCCACCTACTTTGTTCTTCTTTTTCAAAATTGCTGTGGCTATGCAAGGTCTTTTTTGGTTCCATATGAACTTTTGAAGTATTTTGTTTTAGTTCTGTGAAATATGTCATTTGTATTTTGATGGGGATTGCATTGAATCTATAAATTGCTTTGGGTAATATGGACATTTTAATGATGTTAATTCTTCCAATCCATGAACAAGGTATGTGCTTTCACTTTTTTATATCTTCTTCTATTTCTTTTTTCAATGTCCTGTAGTTTTCTGGAAATAGGTCCTTTATTTCTTTGATTAAGTTTATTCCTAGGTATCTTAATTTTTTTGCCATGATGATAAATCGGATTGCTTTTTCTGTTTCTCTTGCTGTGAGTTCATCATTGGTGTATAAGAATGCCATTGATTTCTTGATGTTAATTTTGTATCCTGCTACTTTGCCAAATTCATTTATTAAGTCTAGATTTTTGATGGAGTCTTTAGGGTTTTCTATGTCATCTGCAAATAATGACAGTTTCACTTCCTCCGTTCCAGTTTGGATCCCTTTTATTTTTTCTTCAAGTCTGATTGCTGTGGGTAAGACTTCCAGTACAATGTTAAATAAGAGTGGCGATATCCCTGTCTTGTTCCTGTTCTTAAGGGAAATGGTCTTAGTTTCTGTCCATTGAGTATGATGTTGGCTGTAGGTCTTTTATATATGGCCTTTATTATATAGAGATATGATCCCTCTATTCCCACATTGCTGAGTGTTTTTATCAGAAATGGATGCTGGATTTTGTTGAAAGCTTTTTCAGCGTCTATTGATATGATCATGTGGTTTCTATTCTTTATTTTGTTTATGTGGTGTATCAATCACATTTATTGATTTGCGAATATTTTACCAGCCTTGCACCCCTGGAATGAACCCTACTTGGTCATGGTGAATACTTTTTTTGATGTATTGCTGGAGTCATTTTGCTAGTATTTTGTTCAGGATTTTGGCCTCTATGTTTATCAGGGATATTGGCCTGTAGTTTTCTTTCTTTGTAGTGTCTTTTTCTGGTTTTGGAATTAGAATTATGCTGGCCTCATAAAACGAGTTTGGAAGTCTTCCTTCTTCTTGAAATAGTTTGAGAAGAATGGGTGTTAGTTCTTCTTTGAATGTTTGGTAATACTTTCTTGTGAAGCCGTCTGGGCCTGGGCTTTTGTTTGCTGGGAGAGTCTTGATTACCTTAGTTTTTACTGTCTGTTCAAGTTTTCTATCTCTTCTGGGTCCAGTTCTGGGAGACTGCGGGTTTCTAGAAATTTGTCCATTTTGCTTACATTGTCGAATTTGTTGCCATATAGTTGCTCATAGTAGTTGTTATCAATCTTTTGTATTTCCGTGGTGTTGGTTGTTACTTCTCCTCTTTCATTTCTGATTTTGTGCATTTGGGTTCTCTTTGTTTCTTGGTGAGTCTAGCTAAGGGTACATCAATCTTGTTTATCTTTTCAAAAAACCAGCTCTTTGTTTCATTGATTCTTTGAATTGTTTTGTTGGTCTACATGTCATTTATTTCTGCTCTGATCTTTACTATTTCCTTCCTTCTATTTGCTCTGGAGTTTTCTTTTTGTTTGCTTTCTAATTCTTTAAGTTGTGAGGTTAGACAGTCAATTAGAACTTTTTCTTGTTTCTTGAGGTAGGCCTGTAGTACTATGAAGTTCCCTCTCAGAACTGCTTTTGTTGAATCCCACAGTATTTGTGTTGTTGTGTGTTCATTTTCATTGGTTTCCAGGAAGTTTTTAATTTCTCCCTTGATCTCCTTCAGTAACCCATTCATTGTTTAATAACATGCTATTTAGCCTCCATGTGTTGAAATGCCTTTGCATGTTCTTGTTGCAATTGATTTCTAGTTTCATGCCATTGTGATCTGAGCAGATGCTTGATATGATTTCAGTCTTCTTGAACTTGTAGAGATTTAGTTTGTGTCCTATCATCTGGTCTATCTTTGAGAATGTCCCATGTGCACTTGAGAAGAATGTGAGCTCTGGTGTTTTGGGGTATAATTCTCTGTAAATATCTATTATATCCATTTGGTCTAGTGCTTCATTTAGAGTCTCTGTTTTCTTGCTAATTTTTTGTCTAGAAGATCTATCCCGTGGTGTCAACTGGATGTTGAACTCCCCTGCTATGATTGTATTGCTGTTGATTTCTCCTTTGAAGTCCTCCAAAAGATTTTTAATATATTTTGGTGCTCCTATATTGGGTGCATATATGTTTATTAAGGTTATATCTTCCTGTTGGATAGATCCTTTCAATATTATGTAGTGGACTTCTTTGTCTCTAGTTATGGTCTTTTTTTTTGAAATCTACTTTATTGGATATGAGTATTGCTACCCGTGAGATTCATCATATTTTTTATTTTATATCTCTTACCATTTGAAATGTGTGTTTGCTCTGTTTTGTGCTTAACACCGAAAACATAATTCCTCAGCAAAGATTTATTCTCTTTTTATATTTTAAAGTTTCCCAGAAAAGAAGAATTGTTAAGTTACATACATTTAAAATAATATTTGTTACGTAGCATTAAAATGTGTAAAAGCAAAACAAAATGGTTTTTAACTGAAAGTGTATTTCCAAGTTAACATAGATAAAATAAATATAATTTATGGAAATAGTTTTTAGAAATATTTATATTTTAATGAAGTATATTAAACAGTGTTCTTAATAAGTTTTAAAAATGTGAAGAAAATTATAATTTGTAATACTAGAATAGATCTATAAATACTCAAACTATCAATAATCTTGCTTCATGCAAGTGAGGAGGTGACTGGAGACATTGAAAAGCAGTGACTGCATCTAACCGAGCACTCCTGGAGCACTCTGGGCACAAAGAAGGGCGGAGATGAGGCCACAGAATGTCTGCGACCACCAGCTCAGTGTTTTTACACGAGTCCCAAAGGGCAGAGATGCACCTTAGGAAACAGTGGGGTGGATTAATGTAGACAATAATAAGCTTCTCATGAGCAACAGTAAGCATAACATGATCTAATCAGACTCAACTTTTGTCCAAAGCCTGCTGTCAGAAGCACAACCATGTCAATCCAAGGGTCCTCATTTTGACACAGAAAGACGCTTTCTAATACTTTTATTTAAATAAATAAAATTAATAGGTGCACTTCACAAAAAGTATATAGAATAAATTTCTTGTTTGCTAGTTCAGAGAAACCTGTAAAGATTTGCCTCTTTACTCTTTATCTTCATCAGTCTACCTGGATGGAACATGAGGTCAACGATGTATGTTTCAAAAGGAGGGAGACCCCCAGTCACTCCCTTTCGAGATTCATTCATCAGCTTTACTTCATTCCAAGCTCTGCCGTACTCCCCTCGAACCAGAGAGCAGCCGATGCCAACCTTATCAGCCAGAGCCTGTGGGAGAAAGCACAAGATCAACCATGAGTGAGGAGGGAGAAGGGTGGAGAAAAATTCTTAGCTGTAAGACCCACCTTGGTTGAAGGTAAATATACAACTCTTGCAAAGAAGTGCTTAGAAAGGCTGAAAAAATGTGGGATATTGTGATGGGAACCAATAAAATGTGGTCAATTCCCTTGTTCTTCAAGATCCTGTAGATTAAATCTCTGTGTAGGTCCTGCTGGGAAGGGACATTTTCCAGGCAGATTCACTGCATTGTATCAGCACAAGATTGATAACAGTGTTGGAGAAAAGCTATTCCACGGGCTTTCAGCACTGGTGCATCTATCAATCTTTCCATGCTCCTGGGCTGCGTGCTGGATGTGAATCACAGTGGGACTGAACTGAGGGACCAGCTGGGTGGGGACCTGTTTCTAGCCAATTCATTCTGTGAGATGTATGTAGACAGATGCTGTGGAGCAGGAGGAAACCTGTGAGTGGTTGGTCCTTCTTGGGCTGCTTGCTGCCATGACCCCCTCACGGGTTGCTTTTGTTTTCTGGGAGTTGTCTCTTCAATTTGTCTTGATGTTGAGGTGATTTTAAAAAGTACCCTTGAGCCCTGGCCAGTTTGGCTCAGCGGTTAGAGCGTCGGCCTGCGGTCCGGAGAGACCCGGGTTCGGTTCCTGCTAAGGGCACGTACTTCTGTTGCAGTTTGTCCCCGGCCCTGGTCGGTCGTGCGGGTGGCAGCCACTCGATGTGTCCCTTCACGTCGATGTTTCTCTCTCTCTCTCTCCCTTCCTCTCTCTCCCTCCCACTCTATCTGTACAAAAAAATGGGGAAAAAAAAGAAGTACCCTTGAAATCATCTAGAAACATCTTGGCCATGTTATAGGGGACAGGAGAGCTGGCTCAGACTGCCTGGGTTTTAGTTTCAGCTCAGCCACTTACCAGTTGTTGTCCCTCAAGCAAATGGCCTCTGTGTGCTTCCATTTCTTCAACTGTGAAATGAGGATGACAACAGTCCAACTACTTTCTCTCTCCTTTTTTTTTTAATTATTCCTCACCTGATTTCCATTTATCATTAGATAAAGAGGGAGGGAGAAAGGGAGGGAGGGAGGGAGGGAGGGAGGAAGGGAGGGAGGGAGGGAGGGAGGGAGGGAGGGAGGGAGGGAGGGAGAGAAACATCGATGTGATAGAGCCACATCAATGGGTTGCCTCCCACATGACCCAACCAGGACCAGGGATGAACCACATCCAAGGTACGTGCCCTTGACCAGAATTGAACCCGTGTCTCTTTGGTCCGAGGGTCGATGCTCTAAGTGCTAAGCCAGACCGGCCAGGGCTAACCACTCTCTTCATAGGGTGATTATATAGGTTGAGTGAATTAATACGAGTCAAGTGCTTAGAGCTGTGAATGCTGGCACAGAGTGGGTCCTCAGTAAGTGGTCCTAGTACTGATGTTGCCAGAGAAATGAGTGGGTCCATATTCTCCATCACTAGCGGGAGTGGATTCTTGCAATATCTTGAAAAAATAAATTTTCTCAGACTTGCACAAGAGGATGAGTGATTTTTATTTGAATGAAATTATATCCCTCATTTTTCAAAGTCCTATTTCCCTTAGTCTAGTCCTGGGAGAGACGTAGCTGGAGTTGCAGCAGAGGTAGAAGCAGAGCCAGTGTCCAGAGTTTTTGTTCCTTCGTGAAGTTGCATCCAGCAGAACATCAGTCTAGATTCAGCCCACTAGCCCACAGTGTGGGTGAGCACAGGGGAATGCTCTCACTGCAACAAGAGAGCCAGGAGCACAGGCAAGCAAGTGAGAGAGCCAAGGAGTGAACTTTCTTTGTTCAGGAGCTTGTGTATCTCAGATTTCATGCCCCTGCAGTGGCCACACCTATTCTGGCCAATCACCTGTTCCCAGGTGTGACTGACAGGTAAGCATTTTCCCACATCATCCAGACCTTACTGTGCTTGTGCCTAAACTGCCTTTGTCTAGTCCCTTCCTCATCGATCTGCGGGGAGTAGACCTGGAGAGTGTTAACATGTAGCTTTCTGGAAAAGCTGCATGAATTGCATGCCCATATTACCTAGTCTCCCTTTAGCTCCTTTCCTGTTATTTAATAACCAGGTTATTATAAGGGTATCACTAGAAGGTAAGAATCATGTTGTTTTAATAATCTCTATATTCATTTATTAATGAAGTGGATCTGAATGTATAACACTCTGTGATACTGTGATTTCTAATAAGAAATATATTTTGATCTTCATCAGGGTTTCTAGCACAGAGCTCCTAAAATTCTGGGAATTTCCTAGGTGATGAGAACCATAAGGGTGTCTTTTGTTGTGGTAATGAAGTGACTTTTGGACACCTGAGCACGGGGCCTGGCTGCCAGGAGGTTTGGAACATTCAGTCCTACTCCCTCCCCTACCTCTGAGGAGAGAAGAGGGGCTGGAAGTGGAATCAATCAATAGCCAATGAGTAAATCAATCATGTTTATGTAATGAAGCCTCCACAAAATCCCAAAAGAACAGGGTTTGGAGGTCTTCTGGGTTGGGGAACAGGTAGAGATTTGGGGTACTGGCCTTCCTAAGGAGGGCATGGCAGCTCCACACCCTTTCCCCATAACTTCACGTATATTATCTCCCATCTGGCTGTTCCTAACTTACATTCCTTTATGATAAAATGGTAATCTAGTAAGTAAAATGTTTCCCTGAGTTCTGTGAGCAGCTCTCGCAAACTAATCATATCCAAGGATGGGGTTGTTGGACCCTCTGATCTATAGCTGGTTGGTCAGAAGCACAGGCGACAACCTGAGCTTGGGACTGGCACCTGAAGTGGAGTAGGAGCAGTCTTGTAAGACTGAGCCCTTGTCCTGCGGGACCTGATGCTATCTCCAGGTGGAGTGTCAGAACTGAGTTGAACTGTCCAGCTATTGTTGGAGAATTGCTTCGATGTGTGGAACACCCTCCTCCCATGCTGGAATTAATACTAGAATCATTTCACACACTTAAACTAGTGGGGTAAAGAGACAAAAACAAACATATAATTATCTTCTCCAAAATAACTTTTACTGATCTCTTACTCCATGTCAAGGCACTTTAAATCATCAAACCAACCCTGGGAAACAGATTGTATTTCCCATTTTATAGAGGGTAACACTGAGGTCAGATAATTTCACCAAGGTTGCCGTAGGTGGTGATCTAACGTGAGAGCCAGGGAATCCGTCTCAGGAGACTGAGTTCTTAACCTCAGGACAGTACTGCCTCTAGCTGAGATGAATCTAAAAGTCTCTGTTTTCTTCCTGAAGTGAGAATCAACGTCCTTAGCTTAGAGGAGGAGATGGAAGTGGAAAACCTTAGAATGTCAGATGTGGGGCATAGTTGCCGAGGGAAACAGAAGCCTGTGACTCGGAGCTGGGAAAGCATGGCCCAGCTACCCGCGCATCCACACACTTTGGGCACCCCGAATCAGCTGTGACACTCCCTGAGTTGTATTCTGCAGGCTGAGTGTCATTAAGGGAAAGGATGGGCAATCAGATTGGCGGGCTGGCCAGACAGGGGTAAAAGAATGGGGAGCAAAAAATGAAGGAAATTAGTGAGCAAATTTTGACAACTCATCAAGGCTGTATAGAGGGCAAAAAGACAAAAAAGAGCCAAAAAACTTGAAGAAAATGGAAAAGACAAAGAAAATATGTGAGAGGAGTGAAAGACTTTAGGAGAGGTAGAAGAATAAGACACTAGATTAGTGAGTTAAATTCATGTTTAGGATTTCAGCAGTGGGCAAGCCCTGGATAATTAATTGCATGGTTCAGCTGAAGTGTGAGGGTAAAGAATTCAGTTTGGCATAATGTTACAGACTGAAAATTTGTCCCCGCCCCCCAAATTTATATGTTGAAGCCATAACCCCAATGTGATGGTATTTGGAGGTGGAACCTTTAGGTGGTAATTAGGTCTAGATGCGGGCATGAGGGTGGAGACCCCATGATGGGATTGGTGCACTTATAAGAGGAGGAAGAGACCAGAGCTTGTTCTCTCTCTTTCTTTCTCTCTCTTCCCCGCTCCCCCTCCCTCTCTCATCTCTTCTCTCCCCCTCTCCCTCACTCTCCTCTGTTTCTCTCTGCTCTGTCTCTGCTAAATGACCATACAGCAAGAAAACAGCCAATGCAAACCAGGAAGTGGGAGCTCACCAGACACTGAGTCTCCTGGCATCTTGGATTTCTCAGCCTACAGAACTATGAGAAATGAATGTTTATTGTTTAAGGCAGCCAGTCTATGGTATTTTATTACAGAAGCCCAGGAAGAATAATACAGTGCCTTTGAGACACTTAAGTGCATCTAGCTAGAGGGTAAAGTGATACACAGATCTGGAATTAGGAGAGATTTGTGGGACAGAGGAAAGGGCCTGGAGACTTCAGGCATGTAGGTGGTACTTAAGGCCACATCAAAGGATGACCTCACCTCGGGAAGTACACAAAGGGAGAAAAGAGAAGAGCCTGAATCAGAACCTCGCAGGACCTTAACATTTAAGAGAAAGATGGAGGAAAGGGATCTCCAAAGGTGATAGAGATGAAGCAGTAAGACAGGACATGTTACTAGAGAGAATGGTGTCAAAGAAAGAGAACGATCAATGGCAAATTCTTTACCATATCTAGTATGACAGACAATAGGTCTCTATAATCCTTATGGAGACATAACAGAAAGCAGTGAGCTGAGAAGGAAAATGAGAGATTTGCCAAGGAGGGACAAGTTGTTGAGATGACTCAGAATTCTGACCAGGAATGAGAATGAGAAGCATTAGAATAGGTTTTGACTCAGATAAGCATGGGTTCATGTTCCAGTTGTGCGTCTGGTTGACCTTGGGTACATTTCTTCTCTAAATATCTGTTTTCCTATCTCTAAAACAAGGAGTCGTTTCACTTTGGCATTTTTGAGACTCTTCACAATTATATTTATCAAATGCCTGGAACATAGCTCAAATTGATGGTGGTCATGATAATAGGAGCTATAATTATGTTTATAGATATTATGAGAAAAAAATATACTTACTCTTTAAATATTGTAGATTTAATTATAGATTTTAAAGGAGAAACAACCAAGAGAGAAAGAGATTAAAGACTGGAGGGAAGAATTGCTAGAGCAAAAAATCCAAGGGATTAGAAAAGACTGACATCTGGATTATAAATAAAATTAGCTAGGAATTGTAGGCAAGATATACAGGGATACAATGAGGCTTATAAGTATTTGGGAGAAGATAAGAATTTTATATAGTCTGTAGTTTTGAAACCATTTCCTTAGCTCCTATTATATTATAAACACTGAATAAAATGGAGGTAAACAAAGATCATCCCCTCTCTTAAACCTGATCCTTTTTTAGTGTCCCTCACTTCAGCAAATAATGCATCATTACCAGATGCCTTGCCTAGAAACTAGAAATCATTTTGTTTTTCTCCTGTAATCTCTCACACCACACCTAGGCAGTCACCAGTCCTTTCAGTCTTATCTTTTAAATCTCCTTCTTTCATGTCTTCAACTATGGCTCAGCATAGGTTACCCACACTTCTTGCTCCAGTAACCTTCCAGCTGGTCTTCCTCTCTCCAGTTTGGGCCCTGCTCTCATCCATTCCCCATTCAGTTGCCTAAAGGCTCTTTGAAAATCATGTGACTCATTAATTTCCCCCTAACAACTTTCAGTGGCTACTCACATGGTGCTTTATAATCTGATCCATTAGCCTCATTTCTTCATCCAGATAAACTATTCTACATTCCCAGATGGCCCATTGAATCACACCTATTATTTTGTATAAAATGTTTGCTTTGTTCAAAATACTCTTGTCTTCGTTTGTTCCTTATTGAAATCCTATGTTGCCTCTAATATATCATTTTCTCTTCTGAAACTTTCCCTGACATCACCTTTGAACCCACAAGTCTGGCTTCAGTACACCTTGCATACGGGGGCTGTCACTTTAGTATCTCTACATTCCCAGACGCTTAAGGTCCTGGCCTATAGCTGGTATATGATAAATGTTGAATGAATATGTTTTCAATAGTCAGTGACTATGTATGTGCCTGTATGTGTATGTGCATATATGTGTGTGTGTGTGTGTGTATGTATGTGTATATACATATATATATCTCAAATATAAGTAAATCTAAGTGATAGGATTCATAGTATCCAGTTAAATACTAGCACCTGGATCACTCCAATATGATAAAGAGAAAACATTTTTACCTCACGGCAAATGAGGCAAAACATCTTAAATACCTTGAAAAGCAAAGCTCGATGGTAGAAGATTCCTTTTTTGATCAGTCCAATTGGAACAACATTGGATTTAAGTTGAAACTTCAGTTCACTTATGTGAAGTTGCCAGCTGAAATTTTGTAGCTTCTCTTTTGGAATTTCACCACCCATTTTCTCTGCCACATACCTGTGTCAATTACATTGAGATCAAGTCAATCAAGTTTAATATCTCACTTTGACCACTTTGAATGTAACTAACTACATGTATAAAAACTATATTCTCTATATTTATTGTTTGCTTTACTTTAAAAAATGTACTTAACTATAACTAGGTTAACATTCTGCTTACTGTATTCAAAGTATCATATGTAAACTGAAATTCTAACAACTTCATTTAACACATGGAAATAAATAATTGCCAATTTCCCCAATACTTATAAGATACAAGTCAGTATCACTAAATATGTAGCAATGCAGTTTAAAATTTTTATACTACTCTTGAGAAGTATTTGTAAATGTTTCAACTTGAAATCCAAGGCATTGTACTAACATATGGTCCTTCTTTTAAAAAATTTAAATGCAGAGACAAGACAAATACATAGAAATTTTCCCATTAGATCCCAAAATATTTTTAAGTTTATAAGGTTTTTGTTTTAAATTTAATTATTTTTTTTAAATGTAGAGAAAGACGTGGCATTTATATAACACTGAAGTCAGAGGAGAGAGGAAGAGGCAAACAGGAAAAGTAAGTAGCCGGTGAGGCAGGATAGAGGTGGTATATTGTGCCTGTGGGTTTCTCCTAATATTATCCTCTAACTGAAGAAGTCAGTACATACTCCACAAAAACTCTCTGCTACTACATCTTGGAATAAAGGCAGAATTGCATATTTTAAAGAAAGAGTTTCCCCATTATTGTATGTGGAACTGAGCGAAGAACAATGGTGAAAGACACAAGAAAGAGCTGGGAGAAAGCTGCTGACCGGACCGCAGTCCCACTCAGCCAGGTGCACTGCAATGAAGGTTAGCCACCAAAAGCATGGGAACAAATCTCTGTGTCTCTATCTTTGTGTGGGCTCAAGTTAAAAAAAACAAAAAACACACACTTATTTGGGAACGATGAAAAATATTTCTGACAGGAACAAAGCATGAAGAAATTTGGCAAATGTTGAAATGGGCTAAATCAGAGTTCTGACTGAGTCACTGCTTCTCGAGGATACTGGGAAAACTTTGGTCGCCAGAAACATTCTCTTCCAGTGCTGGCTGATAAGCAGTCAGTGATCTGGCAGCTGGGTTTCTCGCCGGTGTCACATCCAGGTTTGATGACTGCAGCTCACTTTTATTTGGAGTAGATACCAGCTCCCAAGGAGACCACAGCTGCTGCATAATCCAGTAGCTCACCTACTGGTTGGTGTCAGTCAAGAAGGCTATCCTTAATCTGTAGTGATTCCTAACCCCTTTTATAGCTACCAAATTCAGTTCTCAGCTTCTCTTAGTGGAACCAGATTAAACACGCGAATTAAGGGGGCAACCTCACTCCTTTCTGCAGAGCGCCGAGCCGCCTGCACGTTTCCGAATACCCGCGCTCCCCCTTTAGAGCAATGTGAAACAAACAACATAAAGATAGGGGATGATTATTCTGTTATAGAATAACTTGTGAGCTTACATATAATAACAATAGACATTCTTTAAATTGTAAACATCCCCTATACCCAAAGAATGATTTAATTTTCAAGCTTTTAATTCATTCATAACTTCTTCGAGATCACATTGAAAGATACTTTTCACCATTTAGCTGGAAAAAAAAATGACAGGCATTGTTTGCCCATTTTTATTTTTTATTGTATTTATTTATTCTTTATCTGTTTGTAGTAAAATATAGTTGGCATTTCCTAGACATTTTTCTTTAAGTAATTTCCAGCTACCAGGTTGATTCTTGGCAGAAATCTGATCTAAAATAGAAATTGAAATTTTTTTCCAAGTCATCGTGTTTCTACTTCAGAGTCAGAGGTAGGAAGGTATAGAGTTCAATTTTATTATGGAGTAGTTGTCTGAAATTGGCTAAAAAATGCAAACCACTAAAATAAAAGACATTTTTCAGAAATCTAAAATGCGTATATGAGTACACAGAACTTACTGTGCAAGAGCCTCAATCTGCTCCCTGATGTTGGTGATGGGTAGTATGTACTTGGTCACTTCGTACACACAAACACAAAAGTTGGGATCAGAGGGAGGGTACCATTCTTTATCGGAGCTCCCTTCTCCAGCCCATTTCAGTACAGATGTAACCTTGTCCTCCTCCTTCATTTTTTTCCTCTTCTTTCTTTCTTTATTTTTTATTATTTTTTTAATCTTTATTGTTGAATGTAAAATGTATTACAGATGTTCCACATTTTTCCCCTATTGACCCCCTCCTCCCCACTCCCACCCCCCTCCCGCCTTTTCCCACACTATTGTCTGTTGTCCATTGGTTATGCATATAAGTTCTTTGGTTTATTTCTTCCCACCACCCCAACCCCTTTCCCTTTGAGGTTTGTCAGTCTAGCAATGAATTTGTACTTCTTAATCTCTTCACCTTTTTCACTCTTTTCCCCTACCCCCTCCCAACTGGCAACCAATAATATGTTCTCTGCATCTATGAGAATGTTTCTGTTCTACGTGTTCATTTTGTTCGTAGATTCCATTATTGATAGATATGTATTCATTGCCATTTTGTTTGTTCATATATTTTATCTTTTTCTTCAAAAAGACCCTTTATCATTTCATATAATAACGGTCTGGTGGAGATGAACTCCTTTAACTTTTTCTTGTCTGGAAAAGTTTTTATTTGGCCATCGATTTTATTTATTTATTTATTTATTTATTTATTTATTTATTTATTTTTATCCTCACCCGAGGATATTTTTCCCATTTTTTTGTACAGATAGAGTAGGAGGGAGAGAGAGGAAGGGAGAGACAGACAGAAACATCGATGTGAAGGGACACATCGAGTGGCTGCCACCCACACGACCAACCAGGGCCGGGGACAAACTGCAACCGAAGTACATGCCCTTAGCGGGAACTGAACCCGGGTCTCTCCGGACTGCAGGCTGACGCTCTAACCGCTGAGCCAAACCGGCCAGGGCTGGCCATCGATTCTAAATGACAGCTTTGCAGGATAGAGTAATCTTGGTTGTAGGTTCTTGGTTTTCATCACTCTGAATATTTCTTGCCACTCCCTTCTGGCCTGCAAAGTTTCTTTTGAGAAATCAGCTGACAGCCTTACGGGAACTCCCTTGTAGATAACTAGCTGCCTTTCTCTTGCTGCTTTTAAGATTCTCTCTTTGTCTTGAACCTTTTGCATTTTGATGATGATGTGTCTTGGTGTGAGCCTCTTGGGGTTCATCTTGTTTGGGACTCTCTGTGCTTCCTGGACTTGTATGTCTGTTTCCTTCACCAACTTAGGAAAGTTTTCTGCCATTATTGTTTCAAACAGGTTTTCGATTTCTTGTTCTCGCTCTTCTCCTTCTGGCACCCCCAAGATGCGAATGTTGGCACGCTTGAAGTTGTCCCGGAGGCTCCTTACACTATTCCTCTTTTTGTTGGATTCTTTTTTCTTTTTGCTGTTTGATTGGGCGTTTTTTGCTTCCTTATATTCCAAATCGATGGTTTGCTTGTTGGATTTACGTACTCTATTATTGAAGCTGTGTAAATTATTCTTTATTTCAGTTAATGCCTCCTTTAATTCTGACTGTGCATCCATCATTTCTGACTGTTCCTTTTTTATGCTCTTGAGGCCCTCACTAAGTTCATTGAGCATCCTTATAAGCAGTATTTTGAACTGAGCATCTGTTAGGTTGCTTATCTCCATTTCGCTTAGTTCTTTTCTTGGGGTTTTGTTCTGTTCTTTTATTTGGGACCTGTTTCTTTGTCTCCTCATTTTGGCTGCCTCCCTGTGTTTGTTTCTGTATATTACTTAATTAGAAGTATGGGGCTAGCTGAGACCAGATGCTGCTCGTTTGAAAGAATTTAGGAAAAACCTGAAGCAGGATCCAAGACCGGCCAATCCTATGGTTAAGCAAGTGGCAACAGCTTGGGTGGGCCTGAAAGTTGGGTGGGGTGGGGCCTCAGGGAATCACTAGGGCGGGGCTACCAGTATGAGCTAGGTTGCTGGAGTCCCAGATATGGTGGCTGTCTGCCGCTCCAGGGAAGCACTCACCAAAGGAACAAAGGCCTCTGACAGCATGTTTGTCCCGGAGAAAGCCCCCTCTCCAGCCCTCGCTCCAGTGCCAAAAAGCTCAGTTCTTCCATGTATGTCTCTGGTGCCCCTCGAGCTGCCTCCCCTCCAAGCTTAGAGGGAGAGAGTCCGGTAAGTTCGTGTGCGGGCCCTTTAGGGAGCTGCCTGGGGCTCCAGCCGTGTCAGCTTCCCTGAGCCTCAGTTCCTGCTGGTTTTTCCAGTCAGAAGTTATGGGGACTTCTTTTCCTGGCACTGGAACCCTGAGAGGGGCACCTGGTGTGGGACAGGGATCCCTCAGTCCTCAGGAAGGACCTTCCCAGCCGACGTGTCCTCCTGATTTTTATCTGCCACACGTGTGTGTGGGACCAGGGACCAGTCCTCTCACCACTGGCCCTCGCGCCGCCGCCCCTCCTACCAGTCTGGATGTTGCTGCTGCTTTAATTCTGTAGTTGTAGGACTTCCATTCAGCTTGATTTCAGGTGGTTTTGAATGATGGTTGTTCTGTAGTTTAGTTGTAACTTTGATGTGGTTGTGGGAGGACGTGATACTGCGATTACCTGTGCCGCCATCTTGACCGGAAGTCCCTCCTCTTCTTTTTTATCTCTACTTTTCCCTTTTCCTTTAAGAGTAAACAACAGTTATTTTGAATCTGAAGAACATTCCAGAAATACAGTGTTTATATGCTTCAACTACCATACCATATAGTTGTCAAATTTTTAATGACAATGATAGAGTTTTAGAGTTTCTATGCTTTGCAGGAGAGATTAACTTTCAAGAGATCATGACAGATATACATACATTATGAAAAACATCTATTGGTCTTCTGCACAAATGCATAGCAAGATGTCTGGCCCTTCATAAGTATGTAATAAATATTTAATAAATTGAAAAAAAATAGGTTGCCTTCTCAAGGACTCTATGATGATTTCATATCATCTCTTGCTTCTGTTGACACCTTCTGAAGGAAGAATATGGATCACAAATTTTAAGAAAAATTACCCAAAACATAGAAAAAAGCAAAACAAAACAAGGATGGCATGGAATTTATGTCTTGCAGGGACAAAGATTCACTAAAAGTTTATCTGGGGAAATGTACTTAGTTCTTTTTTTTAAAATTAATTTATTGGGGTGACACTGGTTAATAAACCCATACAGGTTTCAACTCAATAAAACATCACTTGCACACTGCATTGTGTGCTCATCCCCCAAATTAAAGTCTCTTTCTGTCCCCATTTATTTGTCCTTTGCCCACTTCCACCACTCTTATCCCCCTTGCAATGTACTCAGATCTGTACTTAGGAAAAATGGAATATACTTACTAAACAGTAAAGATGCTGTTTAATTAAAAGATACTATTAATTAAAAGTTCCAGACTTAGAGGAGTTATTAGTTATGATATAGATTTTTGTTTAGTAAAGATGCAAATTATTTCTATCCACTGGCAAAAATACTCCCAAAGGTTACAGTTTATTGTTCTATAGGATGGTTAATATCCTACTGTATGTGTGGTTATGCAGCTTGTCAACCTTTTTCTAACATTCCTTAATTAATACCTAGCTTCTCAAATGTTCTTTGAACCAGTATTAACATCTTACTGACTCTCTCTAACTAATGAGTTGAACGAAAACAATGATGGGTTCTTTTTCCAGGTAACATGGAGAAGCACACTTTACCCTGTCTCTCCCACTGAATATAGTCATAAAACCTGGACGGAATGTATGCAATAGTTATATGAAGACTCTGAAAAGTAATCAGTAGCAGAAATATCAGAGAAGACAGTGAATTACTACTGAACTGTTGGTGATTTCTTATGTCTAATTTCTTATTTTTGTCCATGATTCTACAAACCGAACTAAACATAGCCCCAAATACGGAAGTGGGCTGCAGTACAAGCAGCAGAAGCTCAAGGAGAAGCCTGTTTGAAAAACAGGAGAGGCAGAGGGAGAGGGAGAGGGAGAGGGAGGGGGAGAGGGAGAGGGAGAGGGAGAGGGAGAGGGAGAGGGAGAGGGAGAGGGAGGTGGGAAAAAGCCCTGCTTTTTGTTTTCCTATTTATCTCCATCCCCTTGTGCTCCAGCCCCTAAGAGGTCCTGTAACAGAGTTTCAGTAGTGTCATCAGGATCCCTAAGAGCTTACAACTGCCTTAGGCTAACTCAGCCCTCCTGCTGTTTGGCTGTAGATATGGATGCACTCATGGCAAGAGTGTATCAGGGCAGAGTATATAAAGATTTTGGCTTGAGGACCAAAAGGGAAGCCCCAATGAACCAGAAGAGACAAAGGAGACTATGGAGAGGAAGGAGCTGAGGAAAGGAACCATACACTCTTTTTTATGGATTCCTAGGCTTACTCCTAAATTGTGTGTGCATGGTTCCAACCCAGAAAAGCACCCGCATAGGTTTTGAATATAGAATATGGGATAGACCACCCCCTAAGTCTCAAACTGGTTGACACACATGCAGGACTGATCCAAACAGTGCTGCAAAGCCTTTGAACATGGGACTAACAGTAGAATGGCAACTCACAGAACACCAATTGGCATTAGAAGACTGAGAACTGGGGTCAATTACCTGCTAAAACATACACACACAAAGGAACATTCTTCTCAGAATGTATATAAGACCCATAAATAAAAACTGTAGGATGCATAACATGATATTACAATCTAATTACTTAGCATACAAAGAACCAGGAAAACCTCAACTCATATAAGATAAGACAATCAATAGACCTTAGTGCCAAGACAACATATATGTAAATGATGCAATTAGTGACAAGCACTCTTGAAATGAATAGAGACTTAGAAAGTTTTAGAAAGAAATTGGAGATGTAACAATAGAATTTTAGAGCTGAAATTATAATATCAAAACTTAGAAAAATACAACTTTCTGAATGGGTGTAATAGAACAGAAATAACAGAAGAACGAATCCATAAACTTTAAGTAGATTAATAAAAATGATCTAATCTGAACAATACAAAGAACAAAAGATTAAAACAAAAACAACAACAACAACTGATAGAGTCTCAGGAACTTGTTGTGCAATAAAAAAGATCTAATATTGGGTGTCACTGAATATCCAGAAGAAGAGGAGAAAGATAAAGTACAGGGAAAAATGCATGATTAGGACTGAGATGGCTTCCTCAATTTGGTTAGAAACATAAATCTATATAGTCAAGAATTTTAGCAAATGTAAATAAGATAAACCAAAAAAATTTTACTCCCAAACACACCAAAATCAAACTATTGAAAACTAAAGACAAAGCAGATGACACAATTGTCTGTATAGAAAATCCCAAGGAATCTACCAAAAACAAAAACTTCCTGGAACTAACAAGTGAGTTTAGCAAAGCTTCAGGATATAAGATCAACATACAAAAACTGTGTTTCTATATAGCACCTACCAACAAACATGTGAAAACCAAAAAAGATTTGGAGCACTTAAAATTGCTCCAAGAAAGTCAAATCCTTAGGAATAAACTTGACAAAATATGTGAAGAATCTGAGTGCTGAATATTAAAAATGCTGTTGGAAGCAATCAAAGGAGACCTAAATAAATGATGAGACATACTGAGTTCATAGATTTAAAGATACAACATATTAAAGATGTCAGTTCTCCTCAAAATGTTTTATGTAACTCTTATCAAAATCCAAGCAGAGTATACATAAACATATCTTTTTCTAAAATGTATACAGGAAGGCATAGAATAGCTGAATCCATCTTGACAAAAAAGAATAAAGTGGGAAGAACCTCCTTACTTGATATCAAGGCTCACTATACAGTTACAGTAATCCAGACAGAGCAGTACCAGTGGAGAGATACACACACAGATTAATGCAACAGAACGAAGGACCCAGAAATAGACCCACTAATATGCTCGGCTGCTATTTGACAATGGTACAAAAGCAATTCAGTGACGGAGTATAGCTTTTCAACAAATGGTGCTGACGCAATTAGACATGAAAGATCCTTGCAGTGAAAGAAATGTTCATTCTCTCAATTGTAGTCATACACATACAAATTTAAAGATGTGATAAAATTGTACAGAACTACACACACACACACACACACACACTGGAAGTAATACTGGGAGAACCTGAATAAAATCATTGGATTGTATCGATCTAAGATACAATGTAATCTAAAATCTCTAAGCAAAATTTAGTTTTTCTCAGCTGTATCATTTTAACCTTTTCCTCTTCTGTAAAACAGGTAAACTGAACATATTCACATACATAGTAAGAGTTTTATAAATTAGGAACCAATGCAAGGAAGGTCAATTAGAATGGCAGAAAGCATTGATAGAGTTAATTGCTTTCTAAAATTATAGAAGAAGTTTATAAGATTGGAGAGTTCAACCTGTGATTGTGTCTATGAAATAAGGAGGTGCCTTTCTCACCGAGTGTGCTGCTAGAAGTAAGAGGAAGCACCTGAAGGTGCTGTCCAGCACGCAGGCTGAGCCCATCAGAGCTTTCACCTTTCTTGCAGAGACGTTAGCAAAACTACCACAGAAAGCAGAGATTTACTGTATGGATCCAAACCAACTAGGACATTTTCTGTTTTCATAAGAGAATGAGCAGGTAAGTAGGTAAGTAGAGAGAGATATTTGTCTGGCTCCAAACTGTGTACTGACACTTTCAAAATTTAATCATTTTCTCTTTTTTGATATAATCAACTAGTTGAATATATAAACTATAGGACAAGGCTAGAGGGAGAAATACAAGTCATGAATCCAACTCACTTGGGGTTATATTTTAGGTAGGAAGATTTTGGTATGTGAAAAATAATCACTATACCAGGTAGCATCCAATAAATTTCACTTGAGTGAAAAAATTAGAACTCAATGAGCTCCACGTCAAAAGAAATCTATTTCATTTGGCATCTTTTTTCCACCCAGTCTATCCCAACAGGATGAGAATGGAATATTATATAAAGGGAAGATACGATTTATTCTACTATTAGGAGGACACTGTGTGTGTGTGTGTGGGGGGGGTTTATTTTGTTTGTTGTCTGTCTCCCCACTAGGAAGTAGGTTCTATGAGGGCAGCAGTCTTTGTCCACTGCTATATTCCTGGAACCTAGTAGATTCTCAGTTAATTTACTTTTTCCATTTTACTGATGAGGGAACTCAGGCAAGGAAAAGGAAGCTGCATGCTCAAAACTCATAATTACAAGTGTGGACCTTGTTGAAAGGAACAATTTCCTGCAAAAGTTCAAATGTTATGTTGAACAAATGTGGATGCCTACATATACCAACTGAGCACTATGCTACATAGTGGAAATGAAAAGAGAAATTATTCAAATCAGAACATGATTCTATCCTCAAGGAGCTCTCAGTCCAGTAGAGAAGAAGCAGAGAGGCCCCATGAGGAGGACAAGGGAAGAGGGGGGCAAAAACAACCAGGGCTAGACCGATAGCTGCAGGTTAGAAGCAGAGATCCATATAATGAGCAACAGAGACTGACAATAGAAAATAAACCGCTCTGAGGTCTGAGAAAAAGAATAAACCATGCCCACACCTTAGAGAACTTATGGGACAATCTCAGTTTAGGAAGTAGATGGTCCATATTAGTGTCAAACAGACTCCACTACCACAGTGGTTCTGAGGGCTTAAGTCAACAGTAACTAAAGGGTCATAAAGTGTGGCAGAAGGACCAGATGGTTTTTGAAGAGTCCAGGAAAGTGCTCACAAGAGAAGTAATATATTTAAAAATATGTAAGCAGGTAGGAAGTATGTTTAAAATATGCCAGGCCTAAAAAGCATGAAACCACATTCTACATGTTTCAACCAACTAAGAAGTTGGTCCTGTTTCCCCGTCTCCCTCTTGGAGCTACTGCAGGCTCAGAGATCTCAGTGAGCAGGCGGGCAGGCGGGAGGCACAATGCAGGGAAGGGAGAGGACCGCCTCCAGCCTGTGCAGTGCTGGAGGAGGACAGAAAAGTTCTTTTCAGGCTGATTACTACGCAGGGTTGGACTTTTAAATGACTGACTAGAGACTGCTTCTGCTGTCATTTTTTTAATTAAAGTGACTACAGGACTTTGAAATGATCGACGTGACCTGACTTCTCACCCAGAGGCAGGAGAAGAAATCCCTCTTGGTAAGTTTGAGAGACAGTAAGAGACAAAAATAAAGTTAATTTTAATTACATTTCATGAGTCCTGCTTGGTTCAACACACTGATTCCATGAGAAACCTTTCTGGGTTAAAAGTCGCCCTTCGCTTCCATCAGCTTTGTTGGATCATTAAAACTTGACCTGATTACAACTAGGAGAAGAATAAATATAATATTTCTTACCTTGATCCTTTTTCTTTAGTGGAGCTTTTGGTAACAGCAGTATTTCGTCCAGAAGTAGGTTCTTATTTCTCTTCTGTGGGAGATCCAACTCCAGCACTAAAATAATAACTAGTTTGTCTTGTCATTTGAAAAATCCCACAACCAACTCAATCACATGGAAAATAATAATACACTACATTTGCAAAGCATTTAATAATTTATGAGTCATTTTTGTTTCCTTTATATGCTTTGATTCCTTTCACCATTACAAAGTAGGACACTAGGCATCATTCCATCTACAGACAAAGAAACTAAGCTTGCTCACACACATTCAACCATGTGCTCAAGATCTCACTGTAGGTTCACAGCAGACAGAGTGCCAAGCCAGGTTTCCTGCCTCCTTTTCCAGAGATCTTTTCCATAGCAATTGAAAAAAACAAGTATGAAATTATATTAGTTTAAGAAGAATCTAAGCATGGTTGCCAAAATCTAAAATCTATATTTTTATTTTTTTTACTCCTAAGTTAAGAGCAAAATTATTTGCGTATAAATAAAAGCTCATCTACTTACCTGGTCTTTTCTTTACTTGATTTTTTAAAAGAAGATAAAGAAGAAATACTTCGCATAGAACCAACATCTGGGGATTTATCTTCCGTAGATGGAGGTAGAGAGCTGAAATTTTACGTATTTGAAATTATGGACAAATTAAAAAAATTTACTTATCAATATTGGCTTTATCCTACTAGACAGATTTTTTTCCCCCTGAAAATCATATTTGGGGCTGACTTTTAACAGTGACATATTAACTTCAAAGCATAAAGGTGAGGTTAAGACAAGACAAGAACTATTATAAAGTTTTCCATAAGCTAGAATAGAAAATTTATTTTTATAAAATGTGTTACATAAAATATATTATATAGATATAGTGACCATTTAAAGAAGGATGTGGAAGCTTTAGTTCCTAGCTCTCCTAGTTACCTCTTACTATATATAGTCCTGGTACAGTAGCTGGGCACCAGCATACAGTTCTAGAGAGCTGTAAACATCATTCACCTTGGTTTGCTCCCATCCACTTATGCTTACTTTTTTTTTTTTTTAATTTTTTATTTATTTTTTTGTTACAGATATTTTACCTGTTTTAGCCCATTGGCACCCCCCTCCCCACCCCACCCCTGCCCCGTCCCCCGCTTAGTTGTCCATGTCCATTGATCATGCATACGTGCATATAAGTTCTGTGGTTTATCTCTTCCCCCTCCCCCCCCCACGCCCTCTTCTGAGGGATGTCAGTCTGTGCCCTACTCCCATGTTTCTGGGTCTACTGTATTCCTCAGACTGTTGTGTTCATTATATACCATATATAAGTGAGATCATGTAGTATTTGTCTTTTTCTGCTTGGCTTATTTCACTTAGGATAATACTTTCCAGGTCCCTCCATGTCATCTCAAAGGATAAGAGATCTTTCTTTCTCACCGCTGCATAGTACTCCATTGTGTATATGTACCACAGCTTTCTTATCCATTCATCTACTGATGGACACTTGGGCTGTTTCCAGATCTTAGCTATTGTAAATAGTGCTGCTATGAACGTGGGGGCACATATATTCTTCCTGATTGGTGTTTCAGGCTTCTTAGGGTATATTCCTAGAATTGGGATCACTGGGTCAAATGGAAGTTCAATTTTTAATTTTTTGAAGTAACACCATATTGTTTTCCACAGTGGCTGCAGCAGTCTGCATTCCCACCAGCAGTGTATTAGAGTCCCCTTTTCTCCACACCCTCACCAACACTTGTTGTTAGATGATTTGTTGATGGCGGCCATTCTCACAGGAGTGAGGTGATACCTCATTGTTGTTTTAATTTGCATCTCTCTGATGATTAGTGATGTTGAGCATTTCTTCATATGTCTCTTGTCCATTTGTATGTCCTGTTTGGAGATGTGTCTATTCAGCTCCTCTGCCCATTTTTTAATTGGGTTCTTTGTCTTCCTTTTGTGGAGTTGTATGAGCACTCTATATATATTGGAAATTAACCCCTTATCTGATACATCATTGGCAATGATGTTCTCCCATACAGTGGGTTGCCTTTCCATTTTGATGATTGTTTCTTTTGCTGTGCAGAAGCTTTTTCATTTGATGTAGTCCCATGTGTTCATTTTCTCCTTTGTTTCTGTTGCCTTAGGTGATGTATCAGTGAAAATTCTGCTCCGTATGATGTCCGAAATTTTGTTGCCTACATTTTCTTCTAGAATTTTTATGGATTCACGGGTCACATTTAAGTCTTTTATCCATTTTGAGTTTATTTTTGTGTATGGTGTAAGTTGATGGTCTAGTTTCATTTTTTTGCATGTAGCTGTCCAATTTTCCCAACACCATTTATTAAAGAGGCTGTCTTTACTCCACTGTATGCTCTTGCCACCTTTGTCAAATATTAATTGAACATATTGCCTTGGGTCCATTTCTGGATTCTCTATTCTGTTTCACTGGTCTATATGCCTGTTCTTGGGCCAGTACCAGGCTGTTTTGGTTACAGTCGCTTTGTAGTATAACTTGATATCTGGTATTGTGATCCCACCTACTTTGTTCTTCTTTTTCAAGATTGCTGTGGCTATTCTGGGTCTTTTTTGGTTGCATATGAACTTTTGAAGTATTTGTTCTAGTTCTATGAAATATGTTGTTGGTATTTTGATGGGGATTGCATTGAATCTATAGATTGCTTTGGGTAGTATGGACATTTTAATGATGTTAATTCTTCCAATCCATGAATAGGGTATGTGCTTCCACTTTTTTATATCTTCCTCTATTGTTTTTTTCAATGACCTGTAGTTTTCTGCAAATAGGTCCTTTACTTCTTTGGTTAAGTTTATTCCTAGGTATCTTAATTTTTTTGGCGCGATGGTAAATGGGATTGTTTTTTCAGATTCTCTTTCGGTGAGTTCATCATTGGTGTACAAGAATGCCGTTGATTTCTTGACGTTAATTTTGTATCCTGCTACTTTGCCAAATTTGTTTATTAAGTCTAGTAAATTTTTGATGGAGTCTTTAGGGTTTTCTATGTATAATATCATGTCATCTGCAAATAATGACAGTTTCACTTCCTCCTTTCCAATTTGGATCCCTTTTATTTTTTCTTCATGATCCCTTTTATTTTTTCTTAGCTGTTGCTAAGACTTCCAGTACAGTGTTAAATAAGAGTGGCGAAAGTGGACATCCCTGTCTTGTTCCTGTTCTTAATGGAAATGTTTTTAGTTTCTGTCCATTGAGTATGATGTTGGCTGTAGGTCTTTCATATATGGCCTTTATTATGTCGCGATATGATCCCTCTATTCCCACATTGCTGAGCGTTTTTATCAGAAATGGATGCTGGATTTTGTCGAATGCTTTTTCAGCATCTATTGATATGATCATGTGGTTTTTATTCTTCATTTTGTTTATGTGGTGTATCACATTTATTGATTTGCGAATATTGTACCAGCCTTGCATCCCTGGAATGAATACCACTTGGTCGTGGTGAATAATTTTTTTGATATATTTCTGGATCCGATTTGCTAGTATTTTGTTCAGGATTTTGACATCTATGTTCATCAGGGATATTGGCCTGTAGTTTTCTTTCTTCGTAGTGTCTTTTTCTGGTTTTGGAATTAGAATTATGCGGGCCTCATAGAACGTGTTTGGAAGTCTTCCTTCTTCTTGAATTTTTTGAAATAGTTTGAGGAGAATGGGTGTTAGTTCATTTTTGAATGTTCGGTAAAACTCCCCCGTGAAGCCATCTGGGCCTGGGCTTTTGTTTGCTGGGAGAGTCTTCAATTTCCTTAGTTGTTATTGGTCTGTTCAAGTTTTCTATTTCTTCCGGGTCCAGTTTTGGGAGTCTGTGTGTTTCTAGAAATTTGTCCATTTCGCTTAGATTGTCGAATTTGTTGCCATATAGTTGTTCACAGTAGTTGTTAACGATCTTTTGTATTTCCGTGGTGTTGGTTGTTACTTCTCCTCTTTCATTTCTGATTTTGTGTATTTGGGTTCTCTCTCTTTGTTTCTTGGTGAGTCTACCTAAGGGTCCATCAATCTTGTTTATTTATTTAAAAAACCAGCTCTTTGTTTCATTGACTCTTTGAATTGTTTTTTTGGTCTCTATGTCATTTATTTCTGCTCTGATCTTTACTATTTCCTTCCTTCTACTTGCTCTGGGGTTTTCTTTTTGTTTGCTTTCTAATTCTTTAAGTTGTGAGGTTAGACAGTGAATTAGAAATTTTTCTTGTTTTTTGAGGTAGGCCTGTAGTGCTATGAACTTCCCTCTCAGAACTGCTTTCACTGCATCCCATAGATTTTGTGTTGTTGTGTGTTCATTTTCATTGGTTTCCAGGAAGTTTTTAATTTCTTCCTTGATCTCCTCGGTGACCCATTCATTGTCTAATAACATGCTATTTAGCCTCCATGTGTTGAAATGTCTTTGCATGTTCTTGTTGCAATTGATTTCTAGTTTCATGCAATTGTGATCTGAGAAGATGCTTGATATGATTGCAGTCTTCTTGAACTTGTAGAGATTTAGTTTGTGTCCTATCATGTGGTCTATCTTTGAGAATGTCCCATGTGCACTTGAGAAGAATGTGTCTTCTGTAGTTTTGGGGTGTAATTCTCTGTAGATATCTATTAAATCCATTTGGTCTAGTGCTTCATTTAGAGTCCTGTTTCCTTGCTAATTTTTTGCCTAGAGGATCTATCCAGTGCTGTCAATGGGGTGTTGAAGTCCCCTGCTATGATTGTATTGTTGATTTCTCCTTGGAAGTCCTCCAGAAGATTTTTAATATATTTTGGTGCTCCTATATTGGGTGCATATATGTTTATCAAGGTTATATCTTCCTGTTGGATAGATCATTTCAATATTATGTAGTGGGCTTCTTTGTCTCTAGTTATGGTCTTCGTTTTGAAATCTACTTTATCAGATATGAGAATTGCTACCCCAGCATTTTTTTCCTTTCCATTTGCTTGGAAATTTTTTTCCATCCCTTCACTTTCAACCTATGTGAGTCTTTTGTTGAGAGGTGGGTCTCTTGTAAACAACATATAGATGAGTCATGCTTTCTTATCCAATCAGCTACTCTGTGTCTTTTTATGGGAGCATTCAATCCATTTACATTTAAGGTGATTATTGATATGTACTTATTTTGTGCCATTTTTGTTTAGTGTGGTTCCATTTTTCTTCCCATTTCTACTGCTAATTACAGCAGTCCTTTTATCATTTCTTGCAGTGCTGGTTTGGTGCTAATGTATTCCCTTAGTCTTTTTTTGTCTGGGAAGCTCTTTATTTGACCTTCTATTTTGAATGATAGCCTTGCTGGGTAGAGTAGTCTTGGATTCAGATGCTTGTTTTTCATGACTTTGATTACTTCTTGCCATTGCCTTCTGGCCTGTAGTGTTTCTTGTGAGAAGTCAGCTGAGAGCCTTATGGGGTTTCCTTTGTAGGTAACCTGCTGCTTATCTCTTGCTGCTTTTAGGATTCTCTCTTTGTCTTTAATTTGTGGCATTTTAATTACTATGTGTCTTGGTGTGGGCCTATTTGGGTTCTTCTTTCTAGGGACTCTCTGTTCTTCTTGGACTTGAATGCCTTCTTCCTTCACCAAATTAGGGAAGTTTTCTGTCACTATTTTTTTGAATACATTCTCTATCCCTTGCTCATTTTCTTTTTCTTCGGGGACTCCTATGATGCGAATATTATTATGTTTCCAGTTGTCCCACAGTTCTCTTAAGCTGTCTTCCTGTTTTTTAATAGTTTTTTCCTTTTGTTTTTCTGATTGGTTGATTTTTTCTACCCTGTCTTCTAATTCACTGATCCAGTCCTCAGCTTCCTCTACTCTGCTTTTTAAACCTTCCAATGTGTTTTTCATTTCTGATATGTCATTTTTAATCGCTTCTTGATGGTTTTTAATTTCCAGCTGGCTTATTTTCAGTGTCACTATGTCCTACTCATGCTGTTCAGCTTCCTCAAGATCATGGCTCTGAATTCTAGCTCTGTTAACATGCCTAATTGCTCCACATTGATCTCATCTTCAGTGGAGGTCTCTTGCTCTTTCATTTGGGTTCTGTTTCTGTGTTTCATCATTTTGGCTATCACTGTGGCCTTTGGAGCCTGTCAAGTTTTCCCTGTGGGTGTTGGTGTTCTGCTGTTTGTGGCTCCCTCTCCTATGTTTAGATGAGCGAGGGAGGACCCACGTTAAACACTACTGTCAAGTCTTACTTTCCTGGTTAAAGTTGCCAGCCCAGGAAAGGTACTGTTATCCTCTAGCTTTTTGCCTGAGGCTGGCAGTCTAGGTTACTTGAAGAGTTTTGGGTTGTTAGTTGATTGAAAAACTCCCTCAGGGGCTTAGCACAAGGGGCTTTCACGAGGGTGGGGTAGATGCTGGTTGTTAATGAGCCTCCATTAGCACTTCAATGGCCCACAGGGTGGGGTTGGATCTCCGAGGGAGGTGCTGCTGCCTCTCCTCAGTGCCCTGGGAAGGAGCAATGTGGCCACCGTCCTGGGTGGCTGGCACTCCGCAACTGCTCTGGGCGCCCTCCAAATCCCGAGTGTCCCCACACAGTTCCAGTCCAGCCTGCCCTCCCTCCGCTGGAGCCCAAGGTGAGTGGCTGTGGCTGTTTCAGCCTCTGTCCCGGCTCTGCGCTGTGGGGCCTCCTGGGAGTTTTACCCGAGGGCGCTGCTCCCAGCTAAGGCTGCTGCCGAGCTGCCAACCGCGGGCTTCCAGCCCCCGTCTCGTGCCTTCGCAATTCTACCAGGATCGAGTCAGTGTCCCTCGTTATATGGTCCTCGCAAGCTGCTTTTCTGTTGCTTTTTCCCGTCGATTTGTCTGTGTTATAGTTGTAATTGCAGTTTGGTTCTGGGAGACGGTCTGTGTAGCTCCGTTCACTCCGCCGCCATTTTTCGATCTCTACTTATGCTTTCTTCATGTTACCAGAAAAGTAAGCAGCCCTGACTGCTAAAATGCAAATGGAACTGACTGGTAACATGGAGTCAAAGGAAAAACTATGGTGGAGTCCCATGGACTTGATTATGTCAGGCTATGAGTTTATGGATCAGTGTTTATTTCCATGGTGGTACTTAACATACAAGGGAAAGGAAAGATATCATACTGGGAATCTTTACATATTCATATGATGATGGACAAGCAAAAAAAGTATGTGCTTCCCTAGATCCTTTATTCCCTCAAAGACTTACACATCAGATTTACTAGATTTACTGTTAATCAAGAGAATAGTACGTAGATCATTTGGGTCTTGTAAGCAGAGATCCTTCAAAGGACAAAGTTTGGTGCCAGGGTTTATCTGTGGATAATTTAAAGATTGAAAAGTAATATTGGCATGGGCTGTATTTTTTATCCTCACTCGAGGACATTTTTTTTTTTTTTTTTGATATTTTGTTCAGACAGAGTGGGAGGGGGAGAGAGAGAGAGAGAAACATCGACGTGAAAGGGACACATCGAGTAGTTGCCACCCACACAACCCAACCTGGCCCGGGGACAAACTGCAACTGAGGTACGTGCCCTTAGCGGGAACCGAAGCAGGATCTTTGGGGACCGCAGGCCGACGCTCTAACTGCTGAGCCAAACCGTCCAGGGCTGTATTTTTTAATATGAACGCTGATACAATATGTTCCCAACTGTTCGCGGTGTCTGATTTCACACACACACACACACACACACACACACACACACACACACACTTAGGACTGGAGTTGTGGACATCTTGCCCTTGGGCAGGAGATGTCTCTGCAGTTCCTCACAATCTCTACTACTTTATTCTCAGCTGTTTCATACAATAATTATCAGTTTTGTTCCTGAAAGTATTTGATTTACTAATCCATCTATATACATAAGGGAGAACCTATTGTCTGAAAGAGGAACTAGTTACTAAACAGATTGCAAAGAAAGTTGTGAGGCTCTCTGAAAATAGGCTAGACAAAGCTCTACACCAGCAATTTCATCAGCCTGCTGAAGAAGGTTAGAGAAGATCGTCTTCTGAGGTCTTCTTCCAACCATACAATAGTTAGATTCCTCTCTCATCCAAGATACTTTTTATGCTCCATTTTAAATAAGACAGATCATGTCCTTCTTCTGCCCAGACACTGCTACGGTTTTCCACTTCATTCAGAGTATTCAAATCCTTCTGACGGTCTACAAGACTTACATGACCTGGCCTCTCTTTACCTCTCTGATTTACTCTCCATTATTCATTCCCTTGGTTCCCTCAGCTCTAGCTAAACTGACTTTGCTGTTTCTTAAATATGCCGAGAGTGTTTACACCCTATGGCTTCTGCACTAGTTTCCTCTGCCCAGTAAGCTCTTCCCCAAGATATCCCCATGGCTAAGGCAACAACCTTCTTCAAGTTTTTGCTCAGGTTATTACCTCTTTGTGATGCCTCCCTGATCACAACTTTGAAAATGACAACCGTCAACCCCACTATTCCCCAGCACTACAGGGCTTCCTTATGCTACCTTTGCTCTACTTACCCCTCCCCCCATAGCTCTTATTTTAATCATGTGCTGCAATTAATTTTGTTGTGATGTCTATTGTATATTGTCTGCCTCTTCCCACCGGTGCCATGGGAGTAGAGATCCTTGTGTCTTTCTTTGGTTCACTGATGTATTCAAAGCCTGCAATACTAGAAACTTAATATTTACTGAATGAATGAATTAGTATAAAAGATATTATCTCCTTAACATTTTTTAAAACTCATGAACAAATATATTTTGCCACCATTTTCTGATCCATGACAACATTTTTCTGATGTGTTCTTTGTTGGGATTTCTGCTCTTTCCCTCATTTTTCTTAAAGCGTCTGTGTACTAATGTTGTACCAACTTAAAAAAATTAACCGTGGATAAGAGGGACCTTCTCAGAGCAGTGACTTCTCAGTGTTTTGAACATGTTATGGGGGTTTGTGCCTGTGTTAGGTGGTGACGGTGGCCGGGGGAAACAGAAGGAAGAGCTAGAGTAAAGTTTTAGGCTATTTCTCATTTCAAACTATCTCTAATTCTGTTACCATGATGGAGTGTTTCCTGCAAATAGGACTTTAGCCACGTGATTCTCGTGATGGCCTGTCTCCTCTGACCCTGACTGGTCCCAGAGGGCTTCTGCCGCCATCCTTGCTCAGCCCAGCTCCTGCCCCGCCTGGGACACAGAGCTTCGCATTTGTGCTTCCGAGTTCTCCCACCACCTCAGAAAGTATGTATTTTATGGTATTTTCTGAGATCTGCCACTACTAGCTCTCTTGTGGTTTTTTTTTCCTTCCCTTTTCCTTCTTCCTTTTGAACTGCTTCTGCCTGATCTCAGGGACTCTTAGTGACTCAAATTTTTTTGAAGTCTGCAGATGATACCTGTTTCCTAGTTTTGCCTAAAATTGAATTTGTGGGTTTTTATAATTTTCCCCATTCTTCTTGTTGCTTTTACTTTTGGTTTCCAGAACTAGAAGATGCTGCCATAAGCAGCAATGTCAAAAACTCCTCAGGATTCTAATTTTCAGCTTCCTGTTTCTCTCAACATTAACACTGAATTACGCTATATATTGTTTTAAAAATCATAATCAGAAATGCAGTTAAGTAAAACAATACTCTTGTACATTACATTTTAAAACCCAGCATTACAATTTGATTAACTTCAATTAGATTATAATAAAATGAAAACCTTTTACTTCTGTCCTTATCACTAGCACTGAGCCCAGGAAGTAACAGAACCCCAGACTGAAAATGCTGCTTCTTTCCTATCTTCTCTGGCACTTGAACTAGCATAGCAAGCTGATTTAAGTAAAAGTAATCAGATTCTAATTAAAAGTATATACAAATGCAAAATCTGATTGCCAAAGTTAAAGATGAAATTCTGATTCCCATATTTCTGTCTGTAAAAAGTATAAATGGTGTTGAGTGGTTATAAAATTGCAATGTAATGACATCATGGTTAAGGAGAAATTATTATCATACATACTAAAATACAAATTAGTGCTCCCACTTACCCGGCCATAATCGTAGAAGCCATCGCTAATGATGTTACTTGATGACAAGTAGCCAGTCCGGCTGTATTTCAGAGGCAGGTGGTTGTTGATCAATTTGTTATAAGCTGTCTCACTGAATTTATTTTTTCGACTTACTGATAGATTAATTTCTTCAAGGATATCTAAAGCCCTGTCAATAAAAGCAAAAGGCAGTATTTGCTTATATAAGCAACCCAACATTAAGTTCTCACTCATCTGCCTCGCTAAGCTCCTGAGTGAGCTGGAAAGGTTCAGGCCATCCCACCCTTTTAGATAAAGTAATACTGACAGAGTTATGAAGACAAAGCAATCCTTTCTGAGAACATATATGCCTGTAATAACTCATATTCAAAGAGTTAGAAAGGACACTTTCAGAAGAACAGGTTCTTCATTTAAAGTAAAATTAGTATTCAACTCCAACTTTTGCAGCTCAGCAGGTGATATATGCAAAAAATAAACATGTTTAGAAACAGGGCAAACCTGTCTGTGAAATCAGGAAACCCTGTTTGCTGATACGCTAAAGGCCACGAACTCATCCCTGCTGCGAGGGAGGCAGTTTGGCCGGCGAGGCTGAATACTGAGTCCTGGTGGGAAGACCTGGTCGGGAGGGAGCAGCATGGAGACGGTTGCCAGGGCTCACCCGCTTTATTTTAGAAAGTTGAGGGACAAATGGGATTGTGTTACATTAGTTGAGGAAAATGAAAGAGAAGCATTTTTCAAGATGAAAAAGTAGAAGGAGAAATGTTGATTTTATAAGTGTGGGGACGTCGAGGGAAGGACCTTGCTTCCACCAGGCAGTCCCTTCAGAGGTGAGGCCCACAGACGTGACGGGGGGAGGGCAGACTCTGCTTGGACTTCCTCTGGCCTGCAAAGTGAGCTTCTTCATCTTCTGCTCTTTCCAGGAGCTGGAAACCAGACAACTCACTCACCCAAGCCTGCATAGTTCGGTGGCCATCAGCTCCTCGCCAGCACAGACCATCACGGCCCAGCTGGCGTGCCTCCTCACTTCGTCGTTCTTGGAGCGCAGGAGCTCTACGAGGGGCTCCAGTCCCCCCGAATTCATTAACTGAAAGTAGAAACCAACATTTTATGCACTAGGAGTCCAGAATATTAGCATTATGCTTTGCCAAAGTATCTCATTATTTGATTGTTTAAGGGTGGTAACTATGTAAAAACATTTTAAGATGTGTCCATGTTAAATTATTAAATGCAGGGGGAAACAATCACAAACCCTTATAGACCGACGCCCAGTTTTCTGTTGGAAGTGAAGAGGAGGCGTGGTGATCCTGCACAAGGTGTGGCTGGGGAGAGCCATCTCCTCACTGCCTACTAGTGGGATGCCCTGTGTTCACTCGCTCGGTTCCTCAACACCGAGTGTCCATTTGGCCCTGAGGTAGACAGAGATGTCCCTGTTCCTGGAAAGGATTTTGCATATGTGATTAAGCTAAGGAACTGAGATGGGGGGATTGTCCTGGATTATGGGGTGGGCCCAATGTAATCTTAAGGGTCTTTAAAAGAGGGAGACGAGGGTGCCAGGAGCAGAGAAAGGAGGTGTGTGGAAGCAGAAGTTGGGGTAATGGAGGAGGGGGTCACACACCCCAGGAATGCAGGTGCTGGTAAAAGCTAGAAAGGGCCAGAAAATGAGTCTTCCCCTAAAGTCTCTAGAAGAAAAACAACTCTGCCAACACCTTGATTTTAGCCCATTTTCAGACTTCTGACCTCCCAAAATGTACGGCAGTGGATTTGTATTGCTTTAAGGTACTAAGTCACAGTGATTTGTTATGGCAGGAATAGGGAACTAATATGGTCCCCAAGGCTGGGCAGGAGGAACTGTTGCAGGCAACTGCTACCCGTGTCCCTCGACACTGTGCCAAGCTGGCACTGTGGCCAAAGCAACACGGAGGCAATTCCCTAGGGAGAGACCTATTTTTGTTACCCTTACACAGTGTCCTTCTTCATTTCTCCAAAAAGTAAAAAAGAGAAGAAAAATAATAAGAGAACTAGGCAGAACTACATTGCATTGTTAAAATAAAATACGTATGAAATTATTGCAATCAGGAAAAAAAAAATGGTCTGACAAAGCTCTCATCTCACTGTCTGAAATGCAGTATTCTATTATCTGAGCCGAGAGCACAGAAAGAATACTCTGCCGGTCTGTATGCATAGTATCTGCAGGCAAGAGTTCTGGTGGGATAGGATCCATTTTCAGTCTTCTCAAACAGAGGTACTCCAGCAGAGACTATACATAAGCATATGTAACTTGGGCAGCTTACAAAATTTTCCTGAAGCATCTTATGCTTAGCAGGCCTAATTTCGGAACATTTTTATTTCTGAGTATAAAACAAGATAGTAATCTAGCCCTGGCCGGTTTGGCTCAGCGATTAGAGAGTAGACCTGCGGTCCAGAGAGACCCAGGCTCGGTTCCCGCTAAGGGCACGTACCTTGGTTGCAGTTTCTCCCCAGCCCTGGTTGGGTTGTATGAGTGGCAACCATTCGATGTGTCCCTCCCACGTCGATGTGTCTCTCTCTCTCTCTCTCTCATTCTATCTGAACAAAAAAGAAAAAATGTCCTTGGGTGACGATAAAAAAAAAAAAGAAAAAAGATACTAATCTAACTCCATGTTAGATTACTTTCCTTTGGCAAAGATATAGTTATTTATTCATTCATTCATTCATTCATTTACTCATTCATTTAACAACTGTTCATTCAGCATACACTATGTGCCAAGAGTGTATTTATGACATGGACACAGGGAAGAAAATCCTCAATTCCCTTCCCTAGTGGAGCTTATGATAGTCCTTTATACAAGAACCATGTAATGTAAAACAGAGGACCAGGGCAGCAGCTGGTGTAACGGGAGCACAGAGGAGAATGCACCAAGTTTGAGCACTGCAGGAAGAACTCATAAAAGAGGATTGCTGAGCTGGGTTTTGAAGGCGAAAACAAAAGTTTACCCAGAGTTTACCAAAAGGGAGACTAGCTTCCCAAGCAGATGAAACAAGAAGGTATAAATCAGAGAACAGGGTCCACTAACAGCATTATGAATAGTGTGGCATTTCTGGAGTTTAGAGCTCTACTCGGAAAGTGACTTCAGGCTTTGGTAAGCAGGTGCAGATCATTGATGGCCTTTGCATATCACTCTCAGCAGCTCACCTCTTACCACAGGGCAATACATACCACCAGGGACTTGCAATGATGTGAGGAGGCTCACATATTTGGAACATCAGTCTGGAGACAATTTGGGGAGTAGGAGGTGGCAGGGGTAGGGAGAGCCTGAAAGAGTCATCTGCAATATTCCAGGAAACAGATGGACTACTCTGAAAGCTGCAGAGAGATATGACCAAGACACTTTTGTTTACCACTGTGCTCCCCATACCAAGCATAGTGTCTGGCACATAGTAGTTGGTATATTAACAGTTGGTGACTATCTTACTACTTTAATGGAGGAATACAAATGAACTGAGTTAATGGGCAGAAAGAAGGGGGATGGAACAAAAATGTAAGTGACAGAAGAGGATGGAATTGGTGTCTTTCTTAGCAGATAGCACAGTGTGAGAGCATAGGTCCAAACTTCATCTAACACTTACCACCTCAGCTTACAGCACAGTGTTTCTTTAACCCTCACTGTCCTCATATGTAAATGGAAATTACAGATGCCTATTATGGCTTAAATAAATGTAAAGTGCCTAGTACAGTGCTTGGCATATAGTAAGTGCTCAATAAATGCTAGCTATTGTTCTTTACATTGAGGAGAAGGGAACAAGATGCTAGGCTGTATGAATGAGGGCCACAGTGAAAAATGAATATGACAAAGCAAGAAATAAAGAGAGTTTTGTAGGATTAAAATAAGTCTTTGTGAAGATTTAATAGGACCAACCACAAGGACCAAACACACTTTTATGTTTCAGACTTGTAGAAAATGTAATTCCATGTTTTAAAATTTTGCAATATGAGAAAAGAGTATGTGTAACCCATATTTATAATTTCAAGAATCACAGTAAAAGGCACACCCGTTTGTCTACCACCATCCTAAGAAACAGCACATTTCAATAACCTCAAACCCCTGGACCCTCCTCTGAATCACATCCAAACCCTTACTCCCCCAAGAGGAAACCACGTGTTTGAATTTGGGGTTAATCATTTTCTCACTTTTCTTTATAGTCTTAACTTATATGTATTTATGTATGTATTTATGTGTGTGTATGTAAGCCCTATTTCTTAGCTTTGCATATTTCTGAATGGTAAATAAATATAATTATAAGATTCATTCTTCACAACTGACTTTTGCTCAGCATTAAGCTTGTTGAGACTCACCTCTGCTAATGTCTATAGCAAAAGGTATTCATTTTTACTTATTTGAAATCCCATTTTATGAATATACCACAATTTATTTATCAATTCTCTAAGCAGTTGGACAACTGATCTGTTTCCAGTTATTTAGATATTATAAACAATGCTTCCTGGAGCATAGAGGTAAGAGATTGTTCTAGGAATACACACTTAGAAACAGAGTTGCTTATTTACAAGGTGTGATCATCTTCTTTGCTAGATAATGCCTGTTTATTTTCCAAAGCATTTGCATCAATTTTGAAAGACTTAAATGATGGATCACTTCAAACAATTAAAAATGTTTCAAATTATTTCACCCATAAGTACTGACCAGAAAAAATGGGAGCAAATGTCCTGAAAACTCTCACCTCCGTCCGGGCCTCAGCATCACATGCAGTGGCAGCAACGGTGAGAGCAGCTTTGCTCTGCACGACCACGTTCGCAGAATGCAGCGGGTTGATGAGGGCGTGCATGATGCCATGGCTCTGGATGCTCACACGCAGTGCCTCCTGCATGGCCATGTTTGTCAGTACGGTGGCGGCATTGGCAATGGCTCCATCTCGTTTACTGGACAGGGTATTTATTAATGGATCAATACCATCAGCTTCAGCAGCAGCACTGGAATGAAGGTGAGTGTCATTCATCCAAGTTCAAGAAATTATCTTTGGAGTGTATAAATGAGTTTATAAAACAAGTGAGTATATAAATATAATTCTAGAAATAAATTAGTTTACAATAAGATGAGTACAGAATTGAGGTTCTAGTAATTTAAATGAAATCTGGGGAAATGTTAGGTATGAATGAATTTAAATAATGCTTTTTCTACATCTACAGCTATTGGTTATAGAAAAATATGACTGGACTTCGGGTCAAGATGGAAGTATAGGTAAACATGGTACTTACCTCCTCCCACAATCACATCAAAATTACAACTAAACTACGGAACAGCCATCATTCAGAACCACCTGAAATCAAGCTGAATGGAAGTCCTACAACTAGGAAATGAAAGAAGCTACATCAAGCTGGTAAAAGGGGTGGAGGCAGAAGGGCTAGTCCCACACTCACGTGTGGTGGATAAAAATCAGGAGGGATACTTCAGCTGTGAAGGTCCTCCCTGCAGAGTGAAGGGTCCCCATCCCACATCAAGCCCCTTAAGGGCTCAGGGTTCCAGTTCCCGGAAGAGAAGTCCCCATAACTTTTGGCTGTAAAAACCAGCAGGAATTGAGGATGAAGGAAGCTGAGCTTCTAGAATCCCAGGCAGCTTCTCTTAAATGGCCCACACATGGATTTACTTGAACTGACTCTCTCTGGGCTCCAGCATGGGGGAGGCAGCTTGAAAGGCATCAGAGACATACAGGGAAGACTGAGTCGTTTGGCATCCAGGCGAGAGCTGGAGAGGCAGCTTTCTCCCGACAGACTTGATGGTGGAGGCTATGGTTTCATTTGTGAGCACTTCCCCCTGGGATTCCAACAACCTGGTTCACATGGTTTGCCCTGCCTAGGTGACCTCCTGAGCCCCTGCCCCACCCAACTTTTGCCCACCCAAGCTGTTTCCAATGGCTTTACCTTAAAATGACATGTCTGGGTTCATGCATCATATTTTCCTAAAATCTCTCAAACAGGCAGCACTTGGCCTTAGCAAGCCCCATACCTGTCACTAAGTGGCCCCAGGCCTGGCTCTAGCTGCAGCCAGCCTTGGTTCACAGCTTGGCCTAACCTGGGCAGCTCTAACCCAGCACAAGCAACAGCCATCTGCAGATCGCTTTATAGCTTATACCTGGTGGTCCTAGGTAGCACACAGGCAGTGGCTGACCTTGGCCTGCACCCCTTGGAAGGCCCAAGAGCCAGCACACCCAGTGGACAGCTTTATACCACATCAAAGCACCTCCACACTACCAACTCCACAAGTGACACACTTAAGGAGTGGACTTAGTGAGCACCAGAGCCCTGCTGAAGTAATTCTTGCTCTATGTGGTGGGCCTCTACACAGCTGACACTCCAACATGGTCAGTAGTCGATAGTCAGTGGGCACAGCCAGTCTTTGCAGCTGATCAGCCTGAGTAAATCCCTCCCACTGATGTGCCAACAGCAAGACTCAATAACAACAGAACGGTGTACAACTACACAGGGGGTACACCTCAAGTACACAGTTGGGGTGATTAGGGAGGCTGTGCCACTGGACCCTACAGGGCACCTACTACAATAGGCCACCCTACCAAGCCTAGGAGATGTAGCAACTCTACCTAACACATAGAAACAAACACAGGGAGACAGCCAAAATGAGGAGACAAAAAAAGGAACATGTCCCAAATGAAAGAAAAAAAAACTCCACGAAAAGGACTAAACAAAATGGAGTTAAGTAATCTAACAAATGCAGAGTTCAAAACACAGGATATAAGGATGCTCAAGGAACTTAGTGAGGACCTCAAGAGAATAAAGAAGGGCCAATCAGAAATGAAGGATGCACAGTCAGAAATAAATAATGTACTAACTGAAATGCAGAATAATTTACAGATAATCAATATTGTAAAAAAGCCAAGAAGCAAACCATCAATTTGGAATATAAGGAAGTAAAAAACACCCAATAAGAACAGCAAAACAAAGAAAGAATTTTTAAAACTGGGGATACTGTAAGGAGCTTCTGGAACAACTACAAGCGTACCAACATTCACATTATGAGGGCACTGGAAGGAGAAGAGAGAACACAAGAAATTGAAAACCTATTTGAAAAAATAATGACAGAAAATTTCGCTAACTTGGTGAAGGAAACAGATATATAAAACCAGGAAGCACAGAGAGTCCCAAACAAGATGAACCCACAGAGACCCACTCTAAGATACACCATCGTAAAAAGGCCAAAGGTTAAGTACAAAGAGAGGATCTTAAAAGCGGCAGGAGAAAAACAGTTAGTTACCTAAAAGGGAGCTCCCATAAGACTGTCAACTGATTTCTCAAAAGAAACTTTGCAGGCCAGAAGGGAGTTGTGAGAAATATTCAAAGTGATGAAAAGCCAAGACCTACAACCAAGATTACTCTATCCTGCAAAATTATTATTTAGAATCAATGGTCATATAAAGAGCTTCCTAGACAAGAAGAAACTAAAGGAGTTGATGACCACCAAACCAGTATGATATAAAATGTTAAAGGGTCTTCTTGAATAAGATAAAAAAATATGAATAAAATGGCAATAAATACTTACCAACAATTGAATCTACAAACCAAATGAAGAACAAAAACCGACTCATAGATACAGAGAACTTTTTGTAGGTTGCCAGATTGGAGGGGTGTTGGGGGAATGGGAAAAAAGGTGAAGGAATTAAGAAGCACAAATTGGTTATTAGACTGACGAACCTCAGAGGGAAGGGGAGGGGGCGAAGGGATGGGAAGAGATAAACCAAAGAATTTTTTTATTTTTAATCTTCACCGAGGAGATTCTTCTATTTATCTTCAGATAACTAGGAGGGAGGAAGAGAAAGGGAGAGAGACAACAATGTGAGAGAGACACATCGACTAGTTGCCCCCTCCACACGACCCTGACCAGGGCCAGGGTCAATCCGCAACCAAATTACATGCCCGTGACCACGTGCCAATGCTCTAACCACTGAGCCAAACCAGCCAGTGCTAAACCAAAAAATTTTACATGCATATATCTATAACCAGTGGACACAGACAATAGTTTGGGGAAGGCAGGAGGGGAGTGGAGAGGAGGAAGGTCAATGATTAGGGTTGGAGGGGGAATGGGGACCATCTGTAACACTTTCAACAATAAAGGTAAATTAAAAATAAAATTTTAAAAAGAAAAATGTATGACTACTTCTTAGAAACCCTTCTATAGCTATTCATTTTTTAAATCAGTGATAGTTATATGATCAGGCAATTCCATTCAAAGACTGTTTGTTAAAATATTCCTAACCAGTAGGAAAGCAAAGCTTTAAACAGGAGGAATGAGTGAACATGGGAACTGTTGATTAAGTTAAAAATTTTTAGCTCATCTTTCCCTCTTTCACATTAGGTTGTTAATTATAGACAGAGGTTAACACATTTGAAGGCAGCAAAGCATTTTGCATGTGAATATTGCTTTTACAAATTAAATACCAAAAATCAAAGTCATGACATTGACATAAATAATTTCAGTAATGTAGGCACATTCAGCTGTTAAATTTCTGATTCTAGTATAAAAAGACTACAGTTATTCATTAATACATTAACATTTTCTCACAATTAGAAAGGCTAAATCTTTTAAGAACGCTATACTTTCTATAGTCCTTGCTTCATACATCCTTAAAAAGCTCATAAAATAGTAAAAATAAAAAAGAGATCATTATAATGAGTGGAAGATGATTTAATTATGTGTTATAATGTTTGAAATGGCTTCAAGTAAAAGATGTTCCAAGCAAAAAGAAATATAGAGCATCCTGATTTTTAAAAAATACCCAAAATTGTGTGTTAAAAATCCATTTATATCATCATGAGAATAGAGCTGATGAAGATAATAAAAGCATACTTGAGACTCCAATTATATCAACACCACTTTTTAGTTTATATTTGACACATTTTTTCATTTAAGATCCTATAATAAACAAAATTGAAAGAACAAACAAACAAGGGCTATATGATTTAGCCCATCACCCTATATTCTGATGAACTGAATTAATTTGGCACTGTCACTTCAATTTTCTGATTGTAAAGGAGAATTGACAACTTCAAGAACAGAAGTTATTACAATTGTCCAGAAAACAAATTCTCAGTAAGGAGACTGGTAGCTCTAGGTGGAAGCAGCTATGGCTGTGGCACAAACCAGCTCTGATGGAGCATGAACAGCAGAGATTGAGGACAGAAATGACAAGAGGTGGCAGCTCTGGAGAGTAAAAGGTCAGGATTGGTGCTAACCTTGAAGGCACCTCCCACCCCTGGTTTATATAAATCCATCCAGAGAACACACCATACTGGTACCAAGGCAAAGTCAGTGCCTAGTTCCATTTCTCCCATACATAGTGTATATTTAACCCTTTGTGGTATCTCTGGGAAGGCATCCCTTAAAACTAAAATTTGCTTAGGTGACATTTAACCCAAATTTATCGATATAAAAATATTGGGAGTAAGGCCCAGTATGATTAATGGAGGGCCAGCATTTAATTTCCTTTTTTAAGGGGTAAAATAAACACATTCAAGATAATTTCACTTTTAATTTGCTCTCCTACTATTAATTGACATGGTAGTCTTTCGATTTTATAAATAAGGGAAAATTTGGGGGTTCTAATATACTTGTTTATCAGAAACCTATCACATTCAACTTACAGTTGAAACACAGAATTAAAAAAATTCCAGCAAAAATTTTAAACAATAAATATATTCTAATTAATTAATATATACATAAACCTTTCCAAAAATTATTTTTCCTTTGACTTATTTTTCAGGTACTTAATGCAATCAGTTTTTTAAACCAAATACTTTATAGTTTTTAATCTTTATTATATACCTTAGTTAAAATGGATAAGTCCTTTGTCACTTAATAGTCTCTCCTTTGACAATGTTCAGTTTTTAAAACATCTTGGAGAGTAAAGAAGGAACACACCTGACAGAAGCCAGATGTCAGGTGAACACATACCAATGAGTCCTCAAAGGCTTGTCTCTTGTGTTGATC